ATAAACAACTCCTGCTTGCATCTGATCGGGAATCGGATCTTTCAAAGTAAAACCGCTTCCGACACGTTCTTTCACGTCATATATAAGTCTAATTTTTTTAGTGGGTAGTTCTTATTAGTAGCGGAGATAATCCGTTTTGTGTACACTTGACTTAGTGGTCCGAAATAAGGTACGCGAAGAACAACAGTATCAGTAGTGGGTGATTGTGCTGATATAAGAGTAGAAGGAGTATATATAAGATGAATTTGACGTCTAATAATGGAATTTATGACCGAATTAGGATACTCGTTATTGATTGCTAATGATCGAATAAATTCAAATTCACGATGTAGACCTGTATTTGACGAACAGATTTGTATAGCTCTATATACCTTTGTTGATAGTGCGTTATACTTATAAGTTTTTGACACAAAACTATCCCATTTAGTGGTAAGACTAGTGAATGTAGGTTTTCGATAGACTCGGGTTTCGAAGCCGCCACCCGGTTGGCATCGTACCAGGACATCAAGAAATGGTAGTACCTGTGGCATGAAATCTTCTCTTTTTCTGTATATATTTTTTTCTTTGTTCTTGTTGTTCTTGTTCTTTCTCTTTTTTCTTTTTCAGCAGTAAATTTAATTGACGGATGGTATTGTGATAGAGTATTACAAACATGATCAACAGAAAATTTCGGATCGAATAATACAAAAGTATCGTCCACATAACGTTTCCAGTAAACGATACCCATATCTTCAGGAGACGACAAATATTTTTTCTCGAAATCTTGTAAGAAAATTTCAGCGAAAAGTGGAGCTAAAGAAGATCCCATTGACACCCCATCTATCTGATCATATAATTGTCCATTAGAGAGAAAATGAGAGTCTTTTGTTGCTAAATCAAGTAACTCCTTCATATCTTTTTGATTAATCGCAGGAGGTTTAGCATGACTATCATATAAACGTTTAAGGATTATTTCTATTGTTTCAGTAAGTGGTACATTAGTATAGAGACTGGCAATATCAAAAGATACCATCTTGTACTGAGATATAGGCTTTGGTAGCGCGAGTAATTCTTGAACAAATGGAAACAAATCACGAATCATATTTTTTTTCTCCATAAATGGTGATAATAAATTTGTGATAGAACTTTCCCGAGTCCATAGTTAAACGTTCTAATAGCTGAAACAACCGGACGCAGTGAAACATGTTCCTTATGTACTTTAGGCAATCCATAGAGACGTCCAGGAATCGAACCAAAAGGTTTCGCCAAATTATAAAAATCTTTAGCAATATTACCTTCATCAAGTAGTCTGTTCAATAATTTAATTAATCTAGTTTCTCTTGCAATTGTAAGATCATGTGACAAAAACGAAAATTTAGTTGAATCGTTCAGTATAGAATGCATTTTCGATAAATAGTCGACTTTATCTAACAAAACAACACCTCTACCTTTATCTGGGCGAGTAACAACAATCGATTTATCTTCTTTTAAATTCTTTAATACATAACGATATTTTTGCTGTTCAGTATTAACTATATCCTGTAATTATGCAAAACGATAAGCTTGATGACGAAATGGGTCAGTTATAGAACGAAAATTGCTCGCCAAAGTCATTTCTTTTGAATCAAGAACACGAATATCAGAACCATCAACTGCATCTTTACCATTAACTTCCGACATTATCTTTTTATGATGTTGAAAATTATCAGTGATTCGATGAAAAAAGTTTTCAATATTACTAACAATATTCATATCGTCAGTATTTTTAGGAACAAGACCATAATCTAATCCATGGGCAAGACAATCAGTTTCATCATTTTACAATATACGAGATGATAATTTTTTAACAACATTTCGATCAACACGAGGTATTCTTCTTTGATCTAATTGAAATGAATTAATCTTTCTTTTTAAGGTATCTTCCTTCACATATAATACTGCACGCGAACGATTAATAATATATTTAGAAACGTGTTGAAAGATGTTGTCAGGTATATTTTTTTCAACTCATCCTGATGATACATGTGATTCTTTTTCAACATACGTAGATCACGATATTTAAAATTAATTTCCGCTTATAAAAGACGTCTTTGACATTCTCCGTACGCAGAGGACATTGAAAGCTTTTCATTTACAGTTTTAAACAACAAAAATCTATGAATACTGTCTCTAGATCGACAGTACTTAAGGAACATCAAATCGAGTAGTAACGACTGATAGCGTTCATGCGCTTTTATCGTAGAATCGTATATCCGCACTATATTTCGACCATAATGATAATTTAGGTAACCATCAATACTCATATTATCGGGTAATACCATAATAACGACTGACAATGAAAACAAAATATGCTTTTACAGATTAACTTACTACAAACTTGAGATTTCGACAGTGCTTAGCTAGTAATACGAAGAGTGAAACAGAAGAGGAACAACATGCAGCATTTATAACAAAAAACGTGAAACCTCGTAAGCAAGAACAAGAACGAACGGAATTTTTTTTTCCTATCATGTTCTAAACGATACAAAATACCATCAGGATAAAAAAGACAAATATATAAGCATCTCCAATATGCAGGACAAAAACCCATAACAGCACCAGTATGTTCCCCATAACCTAACTTACACAACTCTTACCTCACTACATGCCACAGTCCAACCAACACTAAAATATCAAACTAAAACACAAAATAAAATGTTCTCGAACCTAAACGCTATTCTTAGTTCCTCATACAAAATCCCCTATAGCGAACAATCATCAAGAATACAATTCTCATATAGCTTTTTACACAACACCATGCTACAACGTTTCTTCTAGACAAAGAATTTTCCATGCGCTATCTCCACCTCTATACACGATTCCAATTTATCCTTCTCTTTTATTAAACAACAACTATCAAAACAAAAGAAAATTCCGTCTACGCACTCACACAATATTTCATCTATCCAGTTCTCAATCCCCGCACGACACATATGAACCAATTCGATGGAACGTTTCGTTTCGGTTAATTTTATCGCACGATACTTTTATATATACACGATTAATGAGTTAACTTATCTATTCAATGTGCTGATACATTATATTTCACATATACTTTATTAGGTTTCACTAAATCTGATATAGATGTGTGTGGCGTTGTGGTTTTTTTCGTCTGATGATGGTATCTGCGAAATAGATACCGAAATATCACGTGTTACAATTATGTCAAAAATAAAAAACTTTAGCTGTTTTTAAAATTTATTTTATATGTTGTTTAAACTATTCATTTATCTTATGCTTTCCAGTGTTTTATTAATTAATATTGGTAGTATATAAAAACTGGCTCAATGGTTTCATTTTTGTTTTCTGTTTTGAACATTTAAATATTATCATAACATGTTATTATTTATTTTTGGCTATACATTTATGGCTAAAACAGTTAAAAATAAAATCAGTATTAAAAATGTTATATGCCATATTCTTTTATCAAACATTAATAAGAACACTACAATAGGAAAAACAGAAATCTTAATTTTCTTCTCATGTTAAAAAAACCACACATAAAATACGTGCAAAGCACATTTTTGTACAAAGATACATTTAATAAATATAAGCCTGAATAAAGAAAACTACGTGTTTATGGAAGACTTTGAAAGTACTGCAACACATCTCCCACTCAAATTTTTACTGACAATCGATTTCACTTGAGCAATTCGGCTTTGCCGAAGCGGGTGTGGGTGTTTATTGTTTACTCACACCCACACCGCACATCCACACCCACGTCCTTTCCTCGTAAGTCGAAAATAAGAAATCCAGTCCTATTAAATTTTGCAGCAGAATTTTGTCTTCGGTTTAAATTTTTTTGAACCTTCTTATACGTAAAATGGCAGAGAAATTTGAGATGTACCAGTAGAAAAATAAAAAAATCTCGTTTTAAGAAAAACGTCCAACAAAGTTTGCAATTTAACACTAAGGCTTTTGTTTAGTTGAACGGTAGAGGAAACAAATAAATCATAGTCTATCACCGGATATCAACCATGGTGGATCATATGAAGACTTGTAAGTACTTATATAGCGTCTAAAAGTCTGGATTGAAAAGAGAATAAACATATGACATGTAGGTATTCATGTCATTCATTCACACTCATACCTACTCTAATTAAATGAGCACTGATAGGAAAGTAAATGTAAAGCTCAATTTTGCTTGATCAACGATTTGTAACACTTGGTATTTTCCACATTTTTACTAAATTTTCTATTATAGAAGATCTTAGAAAATATTTAAAAAGCAATAATAAATAACATTTTGAAAAAGACTGATTTTTCATGATTCTAGCATGATTTGTAAATCCTGTGTAAAGAACATTAAAAAGCATCAGAATTCAGATAAATAATACTATTCTCGCAAGTAGTCAGCGAACACTTGAAAACCTCAAAGTCGATCTTTTTTGGCAGAAATCATGCTTTTTGACAGGAGAGAAGAAACCTTAATATTAAAAAAGAAATTATCATCCTTACATGCCATCACTTCCATTTTATGCGCATAAGAGTCATTCATTCGAACCATTGATTTTTTAAATGTGCATATAATATTTAACACTTTATCAGTAATTAAAATGAAATGATTATTTGTTTCAATTATTCTTGTTTTTTTCTATTGATTTTTAAGTTTGATGAAATCATTTGGTTTTTTCTTAATGAGTAATATTATGCTGACAACATGTTTTTCTCCCAAGGAAAAAATCGAACACCAATCGTGAATCAGTTTTAGAAAACAATACAAAAGAGAAATATCCTACGCAACATAATTTTCAAAAACTTTCCGACAATTTTGATAAGTTTTAAAAAAATTTTTAAAAAATCCTCGACCCCTCCCCAAGTTGTTTCCTCTCGCGAGATACCTGTATCTCTAGAATTACCTTTTTTGGTTATTTTTTTTCTTTTTTTTTCCTATTCTCTCATCAAGTCAATCATAGAAATTGTTTACATCGGGCCGCCCATGTGAGAAAAAAAAATAACTATACGTCTAAATAGCTGTCTAGTGCAATTTTTTTATTGGTTTGATACAACTGTCATTAGAAACATTTTATACAAAAATATTAGTAAATATTGGTAAGTGAATAGATTTTAAAATAGGTCTTAATGCATATCGTCCTATTAAGTCATACTTATGTACACTATAAAAATTGACCTTAAAAAAATTTACAGATTATTGAAATTCTAAGATAGAACATTAAACTCTCATCTGTAGATTTATAAATTAATTATCTTCAAAAATAAAAAAAACTACTAGTCAAAACTTCATAAAGAAATATTGAATAACATACGAGAAATCTGTTTGCTTTTTTTTAATATTTGAATGTTCTAGTTATACAATGTTGGTCACTTTATAGATCTGCTAAACAATATACTTACTCAATTAGGAAGTTTAAGAACTATTCTAATGAGAATAGGGAGTAGCTAAACCAATCAGACTTCAAAGAAATTCTTACGAGGAAAGTATCAGATAGTAATAGAAAAAACTAGAATGATTGAAGTTTCCGACACTACGTTTTTGAGATATTAAAATTTTACTGAGTTTCTCAATAATAAACTATAGTTGTCCTCAGGTCATGTGGATCGTCTACTTTCGAGTTTTGACTTCATACTTTGCATAAACAATGTTCTTAATGAAATGAATTACTTTTGTCGCTGTTCGTTTTTCTATTATTTTCTTTTTGGAGATAAACAAAATTTACTTTGACACATGTGAGAATTTAGAATATTGAATTTTTTAATATAGCAGATACAGGAAAAGTAGTACATGGTTCAATGAAACAATTTCATTAAGAACTCTGTTTATACAAAATTGAAGTCGAAACTCGAAAGTTTATTCTTCAAGTGATCTGAGTGAGACCACAACTTTTTGTTGAATTATTCAGTAAATTTTCAATTTTTCAAGAACTAAAGGCTCAGAAAATCAAACTATTCTAGACTTTCCTATTCATCATTACTACTCATTAAATGAACATTATCTCGGTTGACAAGCGATTTGACACCTTGGAATTTCATATCTGAGCCATCGCGAGTCATTTCCTAATTCCACCGCTATACCTAAGAATGAAATTCGCTATGAAACACTAATCTGAAAATGTTTGTTTTTATCAATCTTATTATTGAAAAGTTTTAAATTAAACACATCATTCACTTTCAAGTTCGTCATATCACTAAACTTCAACATAGATTTAGAGGTGAAAAGAGTTTTTTTGACATCTTGAACGGGATTAGTGATTTCTGTCGAAATCTGTTGAAGACTAGGACCAAGGGCTACCATATTGAGAATAGTATTTTACTTGTAAGTCTATTGTAAGGCAGTGGATCGGCATCGAGATAATACTTGCGATCATATTTTTCCAAAATGTATTTTTCTGGCAAAAATTTCTTCAAAAATCATTTTACTCCAACTGGATTTTCATGCATTCTAAGACTTGTGAGGTCAATTACTCTTGTCCTGCCCTATGATAGTTTGATTGAAGATTATTTGACTGATTTCGAAAGTCTTAAGAATGGAACAACCTATAGAACTTGGCCTAGCGTAGATCAAAAGAGAACCATTTTTTATCGAATGATCACATTACAGGTTAAAGTTCCATAGGAAATGGCTTCAGAACATCGTTTTCAAAATTTTTACCCAAAACTCACCTAATTGATCTATAGCTGGCAAATCCAAGTTTTACCTAATTTTAGAAAAAAAATGTTCTTCTCTTTCCACTGATGAAAAATGGAGGTTGCTT